ATGGGGAAGGAGGTGGGCAGGTAGGGTGCAGTGTGATGGTGCAAGTCCTGGTTTGAATCCAAAAGCCTGAGGAACACGAGCACTGATGTCTGAGGACAGAAGAGGACAGATGTCCCAGCTCAAGCAGAAAGGCAGTTCACCCTTCGCAGGGTTGCTCTGGTTGGGTGATGTGTTCCTCACTAAATTAGTTACTGTGGGAGAATGGGATGCTTTGGAATGCTTTAATCCAGATGACACGTGCAATGGGAGATGGAAGTGTTTATCAAATGAGCCACATGGATTGAATGTGGAGAAGGGTCATTCTCTCCCAAGTACAGTTGTGTCCTATTGTCCCGAGAGAGGACCTCTGAGGCTGGGTGGCAAATACCTCACAGGTGTCCATTACACTGGTGGCAGGGAGGAGGTGGCCAAGGTCACCACCAGAAACCTTGTTCAGGGTCTTGAAGGACCTTCAGCTGATTTAGGAAACTGCATGAGGTATCCACAGGAGGCCCTTCAAGAGCATGATTGAAAATCAAGAGGCCACTCAGAGGCTAATTCAGAGCGAGCTCCAGACTTGTGACACCCACTGAGTTTATGAAGAAAGGAAATGATGGGAAGCCAGAAACGGCATCGACATTTGACCAGCAGCCAACCACAGAGTGGCATGTTGGGTGATGTGGTCAAAGAAAGTTTGGCAGATTCTCTGATTTAAAAAATGGACAAGATGGTTTTGTTTTATATTTATTTATATTTTTACCCCAGGGAATCCAATTTGTGGGCATTTGAAGTGAGTGCCTTTGAGGTTTGTATGAATAGTTTTGCTTCCGTTGTTACAGTGAGCATCAGAGCCAGAAGTGCCAGACATTAGTGAAAGCTTTCCAGAGCCTGTGGTTCTGGTGAGAGGACCAGCTGTGGAGTGGCAGTGGCTGGAAACAAGGGGAGAGGGGATAACAAGCATGATGAGGTCTCTGAGATTCTTAGGAGATTTACAGTTTGGTTTAGTACTTAAAGATTATTTTTGGTCTAAAATTAGATTTTCTCAAACTATAGTGTCCCTGGATTTACCCTCTTCTGTGAGATTTCTGTTATTTCTTGCTGATTGTACCTGAGAATATTTTCTCTTTAATGTTTGTATGTCCACAATGTCATTTATTCTTCTCTCCTTTATTCATTCAATCAACCAACATTACCCTGAGGGTGAATCAATGTTTCATCTAAAGTAGGAAGATTTCACATCTCCTCCCCCCACTTCTTCCTTATCATTCCCATTGGTCGTCTACCTGTCAATCAGCTGCTCATGGATGCCTCCTAGACATTTCAGAACCAACATCTCCAACACCAAATTTTTGATACCTCTCACCCCACCAAACCATCTCCTCTTCTAGGCTTTCTCATCTTCAAAAATAGTGCCTCTATCCACCCACTGGCTCAAATTAAAACCTGGGAGGCATTCTTGATGTTTTATTGGACTTCAAAGCTCAATCCAAGCCAGCACCTCGTAGACTCTCAATCAATATTGATCAGACTGACAGGTGGTTAAAGGAGCTGGGGAAAGAATGAACAATGCTTTGAGCTGCCGTTACAGCCGGCACCATCTCAGCCCCTGTAGGCATGGATGTGAGCTCACGTCACAGAGACAGCTTGAGTAAGTGTACAACTGAACACAGATTTTTACATTTTCAAAAACTCCTGCTATTTCTTGGAAACAGATTGTGTTTCTCTGATTGTCTATTAAGTTCTTTTTTTAGCCTGCTGAAGATTTTGGAACCAAACCAAAGTAATCTGCAGTTCCATTTTTATATCTTAATTTATAAACGGCACCTTGTAATTTACAAGCACTCACTTAGTGTCGCTAGCAGAGCCGAAACAAATACCAACTTTGCCAGCTACCCGAGTCTTCTCTCTGCATCTTTCCTCTCAGAACTTTCTAGATTTAGGTTGGAGAGGACGGGCTGGAGTCAGCCTGGCTTGGGGAGGGTAAGGATAGCAATAATGATATGTTACATTTATATCAGGAAGAGAGAGAAAGTCACTATCTCATGACTCCAACTTTGTAGATGAGGAAATAGAGGCTGAGAGGGGAGCAACAATGACCAGGAAGGTTTGCTAGTGAGCGCTGGAGCCAGGCTTAGAATCTGTATTCCGGAACTCCTCATGCTGAGGGTCCTCCCAGGACACCAGGGCAGGGTCTCTCCACCAGGGCACTAGTGACTTTCTGGGCTGCATCATTCTTTGTTTGCATTTCAGGATGTTTCACAGCATCCCTGGCCTCTATCCTAGATGCCAGTTGCACCTTTCTCACTGGGACAAACCCATCATAACTCCAGACATCGCCGAGTGTCACCCCTGATTGAAAGACACCATGCTAGACTGTGTCCTGTCCTTGATGATAAAGAAGGCACAAGAGTCAAGAAAACTCACCTCCTTTCATAGCCCCTCCCCAACCCCTGCCGGTCCCCTGTAATCACAGAGGTTAGCTGAGAATTGCCCTTTCCACCCCATCACTCAGAATTCTGAGCAGTTGCCGAGTACCTCCTGCGTGGCACCAGGTGCTTTACATTCTTGGTCACATTTAACCCCCCAAAGTGGGTACAACTATTTCTGTTTTACAGGTGAGGAGACTGAGGCTTAAACAGGGCACAGCTTGCCTGTGATTGCAGAGTTACTGAGAGGCATGCTGGGATGCTAACTCAAACCCGTCCAGTCCTCGGGGCAGAGAGTTTACCTTCCTCACCTTTCCTCCTAGCTCCTCTCCAACACATTGAGATTCAGATTCTCTTCCTTGGCCCTGCAGGAAGGAACTGCATTAGAGAAGCCTTGCCCTCTCCTTCCCATAGCCCAGTGGTTGGCAAGCCATATGCGGCTCTTTGGCCCCTTGAGTGTTCTAACGCCACTTCTTCAAAATAGACTCGCCGAGGCAGAAAACCTACTTCTGTGCATGGGCCACGAAGTTTCCATTTGCACTGTATATGCGCCCCCGCACGTGACATTTTGTGAAAGAGCCACACTCAAGGGGCCAAAGAGCTGCATGTGGCGCACGAGCCAAGGTTTGCCAACCACTGCCATAGCCCATCCCTCTAAAATCAGGCATATTTCAGGCATGAAGCACACACATCCATGATTGTGGGTCCAAGTGCCTGCGGCCAATCACCCTATCCAGACCATAGCCTGCATCCTCCGCCCCAGCATTGGGCCTTGCTGAGTGAAGCTTTTGATCCCCCCAGCTGTGGGATGCAGGCCAGCACAGCAGGGAGGCAGTTCTGGAGAAGGAGCCTCCTGGCTCTGTCCTGGGACTATGAACAAGCTGAACACATCTCTGAGCTCAATTTTCCCATCCATAAAATGGGAAGACCCACTTCTCAGGGAAGGTGTGAGAATGAAATGAGGATAAATGCAGACTGGTTCACATCCATGCTAGGTGCTGGATACAGGCTTCCTGCAAGGAAGATCTGACTGCTTCTGTTTTATGTTACCTGCGACGAACTCACTTTCAATTCCTGAACCTCTTTGGTCAGTGACCCCGTGTACTGTGTGCAGTTACTTCTTTAGGCCCATCTGCCCAGTTAGACTTTGCCCCCTCCCACAGTGGCCAGCTGAGACACACTCAGAATGATTGCTGAAGAAGGGATGGCAATGAGGATCTCTGCAGTAACAGCCCTTTGCACCGGGTGCTGCCTTCTCTGGGTGTGTCTTAATGTAAGAAGCGGTTTGCCTTGGTTAGCAGCCTGATGACGGTGCCCTGGGATTCCTCACTCTGAGCAGTGCGGGCTATTAGCCATCATTCTGGCTCTGCGTTGGCCATTTTCTTTGATTTCCCAGGTGACGGTAGCTTGCGGTAATAAGATTCAAGCTCCGTGGAGCAAACGTGCAGAATGCCAGAGGGTGGAGCTCAGTAGGGCCTGGTTACCAATTCCCATCCCAGGGGCCAATCCCCATCTCTGCCCAGCCACTTACTCCGTAACCACCCACCAGTTACTGGTGCTTTCTGTGCCTCAGTTTCCCCACCAGTACATTAAGGAATTTCATAGGAAAGATTAAATGAACAGCGCCTAGCATGCATCACGCATGAAATCTCTGTTAACAAGCACTCCAGTCCTTTCGCTGGGGTGGGTGGGGTGCCGGAGAGCATGGAGTGAGGGGAAACTTTCTCTGCCTTTCCAGCTCTGTGGCAAGCAGCAGGCAGGCCCAGAGAGCAGGGCCACGCAGGGCTGTGGCAGGCTTTCTTTTCTCCATCCCTTCGCCAGGGAAGGTGGCTGGCTTCAGGGACCTCACGGGGTTCTAAGAATGACAGCCAGACCCCCACTGCCCACCGCAAACGACCAGGGAAGCCATCCCGCCCCGCTCTAGGGCAGCATCCGTTTCATTGCTTCTTTTTAAGGAGCTGATCAACCTCCTGCACTCTTCAAAGCACCCAGGACGAAATCTTCCTTCCCAGCCTTCAAGCCAGTTCCCGGGCCCTATTTTCCCCACTTTCTCTGCCTTGGTCAGGTTAGACCCTGCAAAAAGCAAAAAGAGCTGGTTGTAGGGACTGCGGGCACCCGGTTCCCACTTCCTTGCGGGCCCCGGGGGCAGGGGTGGGGGGTCTCCATCCCAGTCCGGCCCCTCCGCTAAGGGTACCAAACTTTTTCTTCTCCCCGCAGCTCCCTGGGAGGGTGCGGGAGGGTCCGGAGGGGTGGCGGCCCGGGGGCGCGGCGCGGGTGGGGCGGCCCCTCTCCCCATTGGCCAGAGCGGGCCGCGGGCGCTGGTGCTGATGTCAGGCGGGCGCGGGTGCGGCGGGCGCAGAGGCCGCCCAGCAGCCCGGGCGCGGGTGGGGGGGCGCCGAGTGGGGGTGGCGGCCAGCATGCTGCTCGGCTGCGGCTCGGCCTCCCACACCCGCGGCGCCCTCGTCCTCGCCAGCAGCGGCGGCGGCGGAGCAGCGAGCGGCTCCCGGGGCTGCAGAGGCGCCGGGTCCGAGCGCGCTGCGCGGCAGCGGCGGCAGGGATCGGGATCGGGGCCCGGGCGGGCACCGGGGACCCGGCATGGCGCTGCGGAGGGGCGGCGGCGGGGCACCGGGGCTGCGGCTGCCGCTGCCGCTGCTGCTGCTGCTGGGCGCCGCGTGCCTGGTCCCGCCGAGCGCGCAGGTGAGGCGGCTGGCGCGCTGCCCCGCCACTTGCAGCTGCACCAAGGAGTCCATCATCTGCGTGGGCTCCTCCTGGGTGCCCAGGGTCGTGCCGGGCGACATCAGCTCCCTGTGAGTCGGCGGGGCCCCTCCAGCCCCCAAGGGAGTTGGGACGGCGCGCCCGGACCCCCCTCCTGAGCGGGTTTTCTTGGGATGTGGGTGGGGGCGCGCTGTGGGTGGAGTCTCGGGCGCTGGGGAGGTTGGAGGGGGACCGAGACGCAGAGTCTGGGAACCCGGACAAGTCCCTGCAGAAGTGCTTTCTCCGAGTGTGGCCCGCGAGCCCCCTGAATGGGATCCCCTGGGGGAGATGGTGCCAGTGCAATTCTGGGGTGCAGATTCTGGGGCCGCGCTGATGGCTGCAGCGGTTCTGGAGTGGGGCCTGGGGATCTGCATGTGGGGTCCCCAGGGGATTCGGAGGTGCACCAAAGTTTGAGAGGAGGTGTGGGTGGGAGCGGGGGCGGGGAGCAGTGTGTGTATGGACATGCAGATGCAGTGAGCGTGACTGGAGTGAGTACACCCAGTAAGGGTGAGGCCTCCCTGTCCCACCTCAAGTCTGGGCTGCGGTTTACACCGTGGCCTCATCCCGACCTCCTCTGCACAGCCCAGGATGGGAAGAACTGAGTAAAGTCATGCAGCCTCCGGAAGGGGGAGGAGGGTGCCCCATGGGGCCTGGAAGAGGGGACCCGGGGCTTGGAGACTCTCCAGGCAGGTGGGGCACCCAGCCTCGTGGTCAGGTGCTGGAAGTCAGCCTGAGTCCCTGCCCGGAGTCCACGCTGGCTTCCCGCCCCCTCTCTCTCTGCACCACATATTATACTGGCCGCTTTCTCAATGATGGAGGAGCTGATGGGAAAAGCCTCCACATCCTTTACCCACCTACTAAGAGATGCTTTCAACCTGCCCGCATGCACGTGGCCTCTCAAGCCACCTGACCAGCTCTCCTAATGGCTGTGAAGGGGCTCTGGTCGCTCTCTTTCCTGCTGACATGACTCCCTGCTTGGCCAAGGTGCTGGGGATGCCCACTCCACGCAGAGTCAGGGAATGCCCAGGTGCAGCAGCTATGCCAGGGCATTTCCTCCTGTACTACACTGCCCTGCCTCCCCCCCTGGGCAAGGCACAGAGGCCTGGACCCGGGAGTGAAGGGCTTCCTATTGGCATTTCTAGGAAGTTAGGAGTCTGGCTGGCAGGCAGAGGGCCTTTTTGGTTCCTCCTATTGCTAGATTGGGTGACATGGAGGATCCCAGAAATTAGAATTCCCCTCGTTAAAGCCTTCAGGCCAGCAGCTGCTTAATCTATCTGCATGCCAACCGAAGTCATTCTGAAATCATGTGTTGAGGTCCTGCTGTGGCCAGAAAGGATGGAAGGTGATGGCAATAATAGAGCCACGCCTCTTGTCCCCCCATTAACCATTCAATCTGGCAGATGGCATGGCCTCCCACTGCACATCCAAGTTCAGGTGTCTCGGAGTTTCCCCCTAAGGCTTTCACGGCGCATTTAATCAGAAGTGCTTGAGTGTCTTTCAGAGCTGGGCTCCCAAGGGGAATGCTTAATGCTACTCTGGAGTTCCGTGGGCCAACATGAACGCTGTGTCTACACAAACAGAATCATGGGCAGAGGTGAAGCAATTACCTGTTTGCAGCCAGGGCCTCCTGTAGTAGAGGAAAAGGAAGCGGGGGGATTGAGTTAAACGGGCTGAGATAACGTCTGTGGAAGGAGCTAGTCTGATGGTAAAGGTTTCTGTTATTCAGACTGGTTTTCATATCGATCCCCTTCATTGGGACATGAACTTGCCTTGCCTTGTTCCTACCCCGAGAAGCCCCAGGCCAGCGGTTTTAAGACTCATTCTGGAGTGGAGGCGTTTGCAGTATAGGTGGAGGGTAAGGCTCACGGCCCATCCTGCCCAGAACTTCTCAAACCACCCAGGCCTTGTTTTGTTCCTCATTTGCCTGCAGGAGCCTGGTAAATGGGACCTTCTCCGAGATCAAGGACCGGATGTTTTCCCATCTGCCTTCCTTGCAGCTGCTGTGAGTATGGCAAGTTCTCCCTGAAAGTGGGGGTCCCCTGAAGTTAGTCCTGGGAGGAGCAATCTCTGCGTCTTTGATATCAATTCTTCCTAAGATGCTCAAGCTCATGAGTAAGTCACAGCTGGTTCTTAGTGGTAACGTGGGCTGAGGTATTCCCACCAAGCTGAGCCTGAAGGCTTAACTCAGTGTCCTTTCCTTCTTCTGGCACAAGGATTGGATTATAGATCCCAGACCACACATCTGGCAACTAGGAATGTGAGTCCATGGAATTTTGACTAGAGTTTCACCTAAATCAGTGATCAGCAAACTCAGTCAACAGAGTGACGAGACTTGAGCCACAGTTTGCTGACCACTGACTTAAATGATTGGTCTCTCTCACTTTAAGAGAAAACCTACAGTTTAAATTCTTAATGTTACTCTGGAAATAGCAATATTTCTAGTTGACTGAGTACATAAACTGTTGGGAAGCATACTATGCATTTATGTAAAATTTTATTTAATCTTCCTATTATCCTGACAAGAAGAGTATCTTTATTTTCCCATTTGACAGATGAGAAAATTGAGGCTCAGAGAAGTTAAGTAACTTGCTCAAAATCATAGTCAGGATTCTAACCCACACTCATAACTATTCTACATCCCAGCCCCTCTTGGCGAGTGCCTATGTCCTGCCCTGTTGCCCAGGCCACTTCATGTTTGCTAATGAAAAGAGATGCCCAGAAAGCAACTTTAAAAAGCAGATTATTGAGAGGCAAGGTCATGAGTACATAGCACACTCTCTGTGTATGTATTGGGTTCTTAAACTTGAGATGAATCAAAAGCAATATACTACAGAAAAACATGAAGAAATGAAATATGGATCACTACTCAAACTAAGTTGACTGATTGTTGATCTTTTTGTTTTTGAAATGTTATGTACCTGCTTATAACGTTAAATTCTGAAGTTTCTTAATAACTCTAGTTCTATTAAAATATACTTTCCAAAAATAGAAATACAGTTTTAGATACTTTACCCAATAGACTTAAATGGTAACTATCAATTCCATATAAACTTTTACCAAGGAGATGTAGGTGTGACTCATAAAAACTATTGGTGCTAAAGAGTTTTCTGAACTTCCTAAACTTTTTTATTTATTACTTCTCATGGGGATGTATAGTATAGTAGAAAGGTATTTATTTATTTATTTATTTATTTATTTATTTATGTCTCAGTTGTGTTACTTTGGTGAAGTCTCTTAACTTCTCCGGGCTCAGATTTCTCTAAAAATGGAGTTGGATTAACTCCCTTTAGATCTCTACTTCCGTGATTGCTCATGTATCATTGAGCATTCATTGGCTATTTAGTTGTGCTGGCTTTCGAATGTTTTGAAATAACAGCTCTCGGGGTCTTCCCTGAAACTCACAGGGGAGAAAAGGTTAGAGTAATGGGAGTGACCAGAAAATCTGGCCAAAGAGAATCCACTTGCTGTTTTCTGTCAGCATCTGTGAGTTGGGTTGCACATATGCTTCTCCATGGGACTCCAGGTTTATGTCTCTGCATTGAAACCTGTCCTTTCTTTTCAGGTTGCTGAATTCTAACTCATTTACAGTCATCCGCGATGATGCATTTGCTGGACTCTTTCATCTTGAATACCTGTAAGTGCCATGCTTTGCCTGTTTGCTGAGCATTTGATCCATCAGTACAATTGCTCTATTGCTTTCCAAGCCAAATAGCATCTCTTATAGAACTTGAGGGGTGGATAAAATCCCACTCCCTTTCCAGTTCTGACCTTTTGCAGTTCACTTGTGTATAAACATGCTGGGACAGGAGGAGGCTGGGGACAAAGAGGGGGAAAGGGAACAAAGAAGGAAAGATAGCCATTCATTCTCTGCTGACATTTAATTTGCCGTGTAGTAAGCACAATTGGAAATTGTGTTGGATATTTTTACCTCTCATAACAAGGCATGGATTTGCTGATCAGCCAGAAAGGATTCTGAGGGTTACTTAGTTTTAAATAAAGTCTTCCTATATGGGAATACAGTGTCATGTTTTTAATTCAGCTGGCCTATGTTCTGTGTGCAGTATCCCCTGGGAGCTGCTGACGAGGGTCTAATTTTCTTTTTTCTGCTTTCAAGAATGATTATTTTTTTCTTTTCAGAGGTGCAGTTTCCCCCCAGCAATGAGCTTTGCTCTCTCTCTGATTTCTGCCTTTGCCCCCCTCTGATGTCTTTTTTCCACTTAAATTCTTTCATCCTCATCTTGTGTAACTTTGTAATAATATTAATCCTGTTATCAGATGGGATTTCCTTACCTGGCACTCAGAGGCATTTTTAAAGCCTTGTCTCTGCTTTCTTATCTGAGGTGAGCAGGTAGATGTTTGAATTCCAAACACATCCTGGGTCTAAGGAAGCTCTCTGCTGATGTTATGGCCTCAGGAAGGATATTTCTGGAGTTGTTTCTCCAGATGCACATGCTATGTGTGCTCTCAGGACATTGTACTAGCATGCTTCACACACTACCCTGTTTCCCCGAAAATAAGACAGTGTCTTATATTAATTTTTTCTCCCAAAGTTGCGCTAGGTCTTATTTTCAAGGGATGTCTTATCTTTCCATGCGCTAGGTCTTATTTTCAGAGGATGTCTTATTTTCGGGAAGTACATGTGAAGACATGTAGGAAAGCAGCGCTGAGTCCAGCTAGGGTCTCTCAAAGCATGTGAACACACCATGCACGGAGTGAATGTGAAGCTACCAGTTTTATCCTGTGAGCAGTTCATCTGAGTGTTAAGGTGATTGAGGAGGAGGTCAGCTTAGTTTATCCTGAAGTCCATCATGGAATAGACCCCTGATCTTGAAAAAGTAGGCATGGAACGTTTTCAGTGCAAGGATCAAGAACTATTTCATTAACGAATGGCATTGTGTGCCAAGCCTCTCCCTTGCACCATCTCATCAAAGACCCCCTTCCATTTGATGAAATGTGATGCCTTAAACCAGGGGTGGGGAACCTTTTTTATGCCAAGAACCCTTTGGATCTGTATAACATCACTCAAGGTCCACACAAAATGATCAACTTAAAAATGAGCCTGTTATATTTGGTCAAACATTGAATTAATTCACCCTAATGCCTTGGCAGGGCCAGACCCCATAATTTCGAGGGCCTTATGTGATTCTTCCCACCCATGCCTTAAACTAAGCTGTAGGTCTCTATGGCCCAAGGACACAGTTGTAGTGCATCTATTTCTCACCAAGATGTTACAGCATGGCCAGAGTTATTATTAATGCAGGATCCTAGCTCAAGCCCCGAGACTTTTCAGCACAGAGAAAGAAGTTTGGCCCACATTCAATGTCATTATACTTCCCACTTCCCTGTGCCTTCGAGATCTGGAGAGGACCCTGCCTCGTCACCAATTTGTTCTGAGATCAGACCGTGTAGGACATGATGAACTCCAGAGTTTGCCAGAAGCCAAGCGTAATAGGACTCTCCCTCAGCAAGAACTTTAATGAGGAGATGTGAAACAGCGGGCTCCCCTCAAGGGACAAAGATATTAACAAAAGTAGGAGTAGCCAGGCCAGGAAATGTAAGAAGGGTTGATGTCTGGGAATGCTCCAGGCCTGCGGAGATTTAAACATTCTTGCCTTGGTCCAATGCTTTTCTCTTTTTCTCCCCCCAAACAAGTTTCTATGCCTGTTGCCAACTCTGAATTTGAAGATGTTTGTGCTGCTTCTGGAGAGAGTGCAGAACAAACATTGTGTCCATGTTTTAGATTTTGTTTCAAAAGCATGCCAATAGCATTTCCTAGAGCTGTTAAGCTGAGAAAGTTCCGTTTACTTACACTGCTGTTCTCCCTAGGTTCATCGAAGGGAACAAAATAGAAACGATTTCAAGAAATGCCTTCCGTGGCCTCCGTGACCTGACTCACCTGTAAGTCCTACGAAAAGTGTTGTCAATTTTTCAGGGTGCAAAGTAAGATTCCCTTCCTGGTGCCTCTTCTTTTTCTTGACTGTTTTGTCCATATTGTAACATCCTTGAAATGAAACTAATTTCCAGGTTGCCCTAAAGGTTTCTATGTTATGGACCAATCACCAGTCCACGAAAATAAAGACACACTTGTCTTGATTGTCTTTTCTGTCATTCTGGGTTGTTGTCATGGACCACATGACTGCATGTCAAGTAGGGAGCACTCTACTTCCAGGAGCACAGGCCTACCTGTGTGAGTAACAGAAGAGATGGGGAGGAGACTGACATGTATTGTGCACCTACTCTGTGCCAGGCACAGGGCTGGGTGCTTAGTGAGCCTTCTTCTCATTTTTCAAGATAATCTGTGAGTCCCCACTTTACAGTTTTAGGAACTGACACTTATAGACTCATAGAAGAAGGTTGAATGCAGTGTCAGAATTAGGACAAAGTGGAATAGAGACATTTTCTGTGGTTCCTCAAATTTGAATGCAAATAGCTTTTTCTTTTATGTTGGATTAATCGGCAGCTTAAGCTAAGCTCTCTGGGATTTTTAATAGCTTTCTGGAGGAAAAAATTCAACAAATTGATTTGAATTGGCATATCAGAATGAAGCAAGTGCACACACTTAACAAGTGTAGGAAACTGGAAAAAATAGGGACCGTGTTTATGAAAATGTAAGGATAGCCATTGTCTTAGTAGGAGCCATTTATTAGCCAGGATGGATATTTTGTGTCTGAGTAAGACACTGTCTCATCTCCATAGTTAGGCCATGTGTGGTAAAAAGAGAAGTGAGAAAATGGGAGGGCTTTGACTGGGGTGTTGGTAATATCCTTGGCATGTATCACCGTGTCTGATACAACATCTGAAGAGTTTACATCAAACCCTGATGTAGGCAAAAGTGTCTGTCCCCGAGCTCAAGGAGCACTTGGTTTTGGACTCCTTCCAAGAAAAGGCTCTATCTGAGTTCAAGCTAACAGAGTAAGGAGATGAGGGAGCAGAGTGGGAGGTCCGAACATCCGGATCAGCACAATCATCCTGCAGAGCATCTGACTCCTGTTGGCATACTTACTCCAGGTTTCCTTTTCTTCCTGTAAACATCTGGATTTCTCTCCCCAGCAAATTCATCCTACATGCCCAATCCCTATATTTCTGTAGAGGCTAAGACAATGGGCTTAGAGTCACATAGACTTGGGTTCAATCTCAAGGCCATCATTTATTACTGTTGCTTAGCCTTTTTGAGCCTGTTTCCTCATCCTTAATATGAGGATGATGATACTGACCCCAGATACTGTCGCACATGATGGTTAATGCTTGCTTGCAAAGATCCCAGCCCATCACCCAGGTAAATGCTCCAGGTATGATAGGCATTAATATCATTGTTATCATCATCATCATCATCATCATCATCAACAACCTCATTCCCTTCCTCCAATCTTTAAGAAGTTTCAATTTTCTCCCTGGAAAAAGAGTTTGGCAGTTCGGGTGGCCAGACAGAGTCTGCTAAGTAGACAGCTGTGGGCATCTGAGAGGAACAGCTGTAGCCAGATAAACCAGTTCCCAGAATTCAGAATGAGGGGCTTTATTTTGAGCAAAGTCTCTGGGCAGATTGTGAACCTAAAACAAAGACCATGAGACTGAGTTAGCCCAGATGTCAACTTCCATTTGACCAGTTGGCTATGGTCCTTGGTCTGCAGAGTGTATAGGTACTGTACATATATATTTGCATAGCTTTTACATGGGTATATGGATTTCTCTACATGTGTCTATACTCTGAGTGGCCAGATTATTATGATCTCTGAGCACATAACAATCTGGACATTCAGTATATATCCTATATAATAAAAGGCTAATATGCAAATTGTCCCCTCTACCAGGAGTTTGACCAGCAGACAGGCCGGACAACCACCCATGTTCCCTCCCCCTGGCCAGGCTGGCCGGACTCCACCCATACAAGAATTCATGCACTGGGCCTCATATATATATATATATATATATATATATATATATATATATATATTCATATTCACACACATACACTGAGATCATTATAATCTGGTCACACAGTGTATAACTGTGTATGTGTATGCATGCTTGTGCATCTGCACATATGACCATATGTATATATCAGATGTACATGTGTGTATGAGGCACCTCCTTCTTTGAGTGAAATGCAGAGGGAACAAAGAAGTCCTCTGCTTGGGTCCAGGGTGCATCAGATGCACTAATACACCCATCCCAGCTTGTATTGCCACCTGACAGTCAAGCCCACCAGGCCCCCTCTACCCCCAGCTCTCCAACCTCATTTCCCTAAATGTCCTCAGAACATTGGGCTCTCAGGGGGCTCCCACGCATACCCAACTCATCCCATTCCTGGGCTTCCCTTCACATCCTTCCTCTGGCCTTGGGTGCTCTTTCTTCTGCCCACGATCTCCTGGGATCTTTTTTTTCTTCAAAGTCCAGATTAAGTTCTATCTCCCACGTGGAGCCATGTGGGTCTCCCCTTCACTTCTCTAGTAGCCTCCCTATGGGATCTATACACCCAGCACCTTACTGTAGACTCAGGCCACACTGGTTGGTGCAATTTCATGGTGTTCGTTTTACTTCCCCAGCAGCAGTGAGAGCTCCCCGAGGGGAGGGCCCGTGAGGATCTTGCATTAGCTGTGTTCTTTGCCCATCATCTAGCACAGGGCTAAGCCAGCAGGACATCCTTTCAGATTCACTGGTTGACCAGTGGGTTCCTTACTGAGCTGGATTTTCCACCTGGACTCTACTCCTGGGCAAGTCAGGTGGCCTCCTCTAGGCTGGAGACACATGTAGTCATTAAAGCATTTAGTACATTGTTTAAGAATGAACTGGTTCTTCCATTTCCCCACTTTTTTCCTTTTTTTTTTTTTTTTTTTTTTTTTTTTTTGGTAAACCGAGCGAAGATCACATGTCAGCTCTCTAAAGTTCATTCCTGTGATGAAGGAAACCACTGTCTGGAATTTGCTTGTTTAAGTTTCTGATTTTTATCCTTTATAAACTTCCCCAACACCTGCAGGGTCACATGTTCCTGTAAAGAGACACGGGTCAGGTTTCAGGGCCCTGTAGGAGCGGTGCCAATCTGTAAGTAAAATCTGGGACAGTTGTTTCCAGCAGCCCGGAAAGCCCAAGGGACAGGTTGCTGTTAAGTAGTTTTGGAAATGAAGTAAGTGCCATGAGTTTATAGATAAAATGAAGTGGAAAGTGAGATGTTAGGCACGGAGTGTGAGTGGGGTGGATGGTCCATCTAAATAATTCAGCTTCTGAAATCCAAATTGAATGCTTGGAACGGCTGCTGAATAGTCTGCTTTTTTTTTTTTGGCCTCGAATATCCCGTATATTCTTATCACTTCAATCCCGTACAGTTCAAGTAGAAAAAAAAAATTATCTGAAAAATTCCCCTTTAATTAGCTAAAAAAAAAAAAAAAAAAAAGGTTTTACTTTACATTTTTAGGTGAGGTGACCATCAACCAGAAAATAATCAAAACAAACATGTTCTTTTTTAATGTCAGAAAGCTATTCTAAAGTATGTTCAGTCTGATTACATATTCAGTCTATTTTCCTACATCTCTAAAAATGTACAGATATTAGGAAATAAAGCTTAAAAAGTACAAGAAATGGTATTTTAACCCATTGGTGGTTGCCTAGATGGGAAGGGGTATTCCTATAGTCTGATAGTATCTTGAAGCTAGAATGATTGGTTAAATGGGCTTAAAGGCTCTAGTCAGTTTGGCTCAGTGAATAGAGTGCCAGCCTGCAGACTGAAGGGTCTCGGGTTTGATTTCGGTCAAGGGCATATGCCCAGGTTGCAGGCTCAATCCCCAGCATGGGTGTGCAGGAGGCAGCCGATCAATGATTCTTTCTTATCATTTATGTTTCTATCTCTCTCTCTTCCTTCCTCTCTGAAATAAATAAAACTATTTTTAAAAGAAAAGAAAACATGAAACATTTTTAAAAATAGGCTCAAAACTTTCTATTCTAGTTAAGTCTAAGGAGGACAAGCATTTCTTTAATTCCTCTTTCTGGGATGGGTCATTATGATGCTACCGAAGACTAATTTCATATATGTTTCATAATCATACTTCATATATAAATATTTACACATATACATTTGGTGATGAATTGCCTGCATGTTTCTCATTTATGATTTTGCTATTTGTACTCATGTGTAAAAGAAAAAAAAGTAGCCATTAGTTTGTTGGCTGACTCATATTAGAACACAGTGCCTAGGGGAAATCACAGACTCCATGTACATCCTTTCAACACCCTGCATCTTTCAACGTCAGCAGCCCAGCCTCATGACATTCATCTTTAGCATGGTGACAGGGCACTGCAGAACCCTGAATCATCCAAGAAGGAGTTGACAGTGCTCATTCAGAGTATTCTTCTGGAAGTGGAGGTGGGAGTGGGGGGGAGGGGGGAACTAAGACGTTTTAGAAGTTCTTAAAAACTAACAGCAAAAATGCAGAATAGTTTCTGGTCAACCGTTGTTAATGAGAAAACAAAATCGGTCACCATCATTCATTCCCTAAATGGGGTTTGTTGAGGTTTAATATTATTGTCAGGGTTAGAGTTGAGGGTCTTTAGGTAAAAGCATATGTACTGAGTTCTTCCTTAGAGTGACAAAAGTGATAGAATTCACTTAAATGGACCACTAGGGAACTTCTCGGTACACGACTATCCATTCCTTCTTAAAAAAATCATTGTCATTTTAGTGCATAATTCATTCAACAAAGATTTACTGAGTACCTACTATATGCCAGGCCATGTTCTATGAGCTGTGGATACAGATGTGGACAAACAGACAAATTTTTTCTCATCTTGCTTATGTATAGGATGAAAACACAGTCAATAAACAAGTAGATAAATAAAATGTATAGTATGTCAATGAGGAACATAGCAGAGAAGGGAAGTGTGTAGAGGTCAGGGAAGGTGGTGAGAGCTGCGGACAGATGTAAGAAGGTGATGGAGTGAGCTGTGGGGTGTCTGGGGAAAGAGCATTCTAGGCAGATGGACAGCAAGTTCAGGCCTTGACCTGGGGCTGTGTTTCTCCTGCTTGAGAAATAACGAAGAGTCCAGTGCAGCTGGATCTTGGTGGTTAAGATGTCCCATCGGTAGGTGGGAATGGAGGTAAACTAGACCAGTGGTCGGCAAAGTCATTAGCCAACAGAGCCAAATATCAACAGTACAACGATTGAAATTTCTTTTGAGAGCCAAATTTTTAAAACTTAAACGTTCTAACACCACTTCTTCAAAATAGGCTCGCCCAGGCCGTAGTATTTTGTGGAAGAGCCACACTCAAGGGGCCAAAGAGCTGCATGTGGCTCGAGAGCCGCCGTTTGCCAACCACTGAATTAGACAATGGAGAGTCTTGCATCCCATCAAAGGGACTGTGGCTTTTATTTTGAAAACATGAGTGGTACCTGAGGCTTAACCAATGTATATCAAGAGCTTAATAAATGCTTGTTTTAAAAACAAAAGACTTACATTATATCCCAGCATTTATATTATTTTTTTAATAACTAAACTCAGTTCTCTACTCAGTATTGATGACCAGAGCCAGAAATTGAACCATGTTGTGCATAAGAGGATTAGAGCTCTTTTTGAAATCATGACTTTACTTAAGGAACTTCAGAGTAATAGGGCGTAAAGATAATAACCACATTAAAATGTTACTTTCTGGTTCTAGCTCTCTGGCCAATAACCACATCAAAGCACTCCCAAGAGATGTCTTCAGTGATTTAGACTCCCTGATTGAGCTGTAAGTAATGAAAGTCAAGTTTGTGTCTGCTAGTGCTTGTGCCCCAGCAAATCCTGCTATTGAGTCCTCTCTCTCCCTTCGCCGCATTTCTCTTCCCCTGTAGCTCAAGAACCTATGACAGAGCTGTGCCCACTGGGAGACAGCATGGAGTCTGTATGGGGTTGGATTGTGCCTTTTTAGAATATCCTTAGCAGCATTAGGCTTCTTCCCCGAGATAGCGTATCTATTGGATTTACCTTCTAGTGTTGGTCACTTTTTATTGGACTTAGTTTAACAAGTTCTTAGCGTTTCAAGTGTGTTTGTGAAAACTGGTTTCCTGGAATGTCCTGTTTGTGTTTGTGTGAACCTGTGTTGGCTGTTGTTCTGTCAGCGCTCCCGGGTCCAGCATGGCATGACGACAGTTTCAAGAGAGTTTGGAGAAATGGTGGTATGGTTGCTCTGAAAGCTCTCTGTAGGCAGTCCAGTTAAAACCAGAGGCACTAAAGACTATTAAATAAAATCAGTGATAAGAACAAAAAAATAGGATGTATTCAATATAAAAAAATTAAATTACATGTTGGGGTATTAAATATGTCAAGATATTAATAATCCTGGAGTCTCATATCAGTGCCTGAACATTTGAGGCATGTCTGTTTTCCTGTGCCTGTACTTGGTTTTATTTTTTAGAGATTTAAGGGGCAATAAATTTGAATGCGACTGCAAAGCCAAGTGGCTGTATCTGTGGTTGAAGATGACGAACTCCACCGTTTCGGACGTGCTGTGTATCGGTCCCCCAGAATATCAGGAGAAGAAGCTAAATGACGTGACCAGCTTTGACTACGAATGCACAACTACAGGTATGCAGAGCCCCTGTCACCAAGGCGGTTAATCAGTACAATCCCCATGTTTTCCCTTTAGCTTGTCAACAGGGACTGGGGGAAAGTGGGTGCAAACACTTTCTGTCAAAGTTATTTTAGGTGAAATTTAAGCTCCAAAAGGTATGCACTGATGTGGTAAAGAAAATATCTCAACAGTTTAGATTTTTGTTAATTGCACTGGCTTTATTATTGATCCTCTACAAAATTTAAATGTCTCTAAAGGTTTTTTTTTTTTTTTTTTTTTTTTTTTTTTTTTTTTTTTTTTTTAGTCAAATATAAACTGGTGAGCTTGGCATAAAAACATTTTCAAGTCAGTTATGTTTCCATAGAAAGTCAATGCGGAGGGGCCTAAACTCCTGTCCTCTTGATTGGATTACATGAATTTTATTGAAAATTTAACTAGTAAATATGAGACTTTAAAATCTATAAAATGCATTCATAGTCCCATCTAAAAAAGAGATAACTAGGTAAATTATAACCAAACTAGACAAAGTAGGAATAGAAGTTAAGAGTTAATTGTCAAAAGAGGAAACTCACATTGAGGGGAAAATGTAAAGTTGATTCTGTTCTCCAGGACCTCTCTCATAGTCCAGTTTATACATTTTTAGGCTATAAAGATAAAATGAAAATACTAACTGCCTCAGCTCTCTGCATATGTAGAGAGCAGATGAGTGTCTCCATAGGAAAGGCTTAGATGGAGTCCCCACAGCTTCTGATGCCAGATTTTATTTTTTAATCCTCACCAGGGGAGATATTTTCCATAGCTTTTCAGAGAGAGTGGATGGGGGCTATGGAAATAGGAGAGAGAGAGAGAGAGAGAGAGAGAGAGAGAGAGAGAGAGAGAGAGAGAGAACAGAAACACATCAACTGGTTGCCTCCCTCATGCACCCTGACAAGGTTTCAGGTAGCAAACCCACAGCCCAGGTCCATATCCTTGACTAGAAATTGAACCTTGAATCCTTATGTACGTGGTCTGATGCTCTAACCACTTAGCAACACCAACCAGGGCTAATACCAGAGAAGAAAAGGTCAATCCACAGTATGAAGCCTGCTTTATCAGACTTAGAGAAAAGTGAACAGGCCGAGATTTGATATCTACAGGGCTTCAAGGCATGTCAGTAGGAGCAGCATGAGTGAGAACTCAAAACATAGTCACAGAAACTCAAAAGACAAAAGAACTTCAAGAACAAAACATCCCAGCGGCCATCCTCCAAATAAACACTCGCCAAGTAAAAATTATTTCCAGATGTCTTTGTAAATAAGGGCCCCTGCGATTCTCTGTTCTTTTCTGAGAGGAAATCTGAAATCTTATGGGAATGACCTTGTCTTTCATCACCCAGCAGGGGCTTATTCAGCTGTGTAATCGGCAAGTGCCCTTTAGCCAGCGAGGCTGCAGCAGGTTATTCGCTGTGTTGTGGAGCAGTGCAAAATATCAGAGGTCGAGTCAATGACATTTGCACTGGAAGGTGGCACTCAAGGCCATTGGGTATGAAATGCTAAACCAAAGCTCATTGGGGCTGTTTCTACCTCTTCCCCAACTTTTCTAGAGAGTTCTCTAACACACTGGTGAAATTAACAGCTTTTCCATTGTTCTAGTCACACCTGGTCATAGTATATGAAAAGTTTGCCAAGCTCTGAGAGATATGACATGGGCTATAGAGGGACGGAGAGATTTGGGAATAATTTACATGAGACAACCTTATTTCTGAGCTTAGAGCCCCATGGATGGTTATGAAAACCATCTGAGCTCTGAGAATTGTCATGGGAATGGAGGTCCTGAAATCTGTCATAAACCCAGAATCACTGTGAGTCCCTAACACATTATAGGGCATTTACTCTCTTATATACACTGAGTGGCCAGATTATTATGATCTCTGAATGCATAATAGTCTGGCCACTCAGTGTATATCCTATATAATAAAAGACTAATATGTAAATTGTCCCCTCGACCAGGAGTTCGACCATCAGGCTGGCTGGCCAACTGCCCATGTCCCCTCCCCCTGGCCAGGCTAGCTGGACCCATTCCAGGAACGAATTCATGCTCCGGGCCTCTAATATATATACTGAGTGGCCAGAGAGCATAATAATCTGGCCACTCAGTATATATCTTCACTAAACAGCTTCCTATTAAAATCAAGAAAGTCATCACACCTCCCTGGTATCAGGAAGATGAGGATTCTATTTTTGTTATTGTTTTATCCCTTTAAGAATCATGGACAAATGGCCCTGACTGGTGTTTCTCAGTGGTTAGAGCATCTGCTCCATGCACCAAAGGGTCACCAGTTTGAATCCTGGTCAAGGGCATTGTACCTGGGTTGCAGGTTCAATGCCTGGCGGAGTTTGAGAGGGTATAGGAGGCAACCAATCAATGTTTCTTTCCCCCCAACCCTCCACTTCCTTTCCTCCCCTCCCCTCTCTAAAAATCAATGGAAAGAATATCCTTGGGTGAGGGTTAACAACAACACACACACACACACACACACACACACACACACAAAAATCATGGGCAAAGGGCCTCTTGCTCTTAGGGCCTTCCATCATGAAAAAAAGGCACAGGCAAGTTATAACCTGTCCCCAAATAGAGCCCTTGCCTCTTAAGAATATAGGCCAATCGATGATGAGTTTTGGGCTCCTCTTTCCTGCTCAGATAAAGCGTCATTGCCTGGGCTTTATGAGAAGCTGGGAGGAAATGCCCGAGGAAGAGGGAAGGCCCATTCTTAGGTCATGGGACTGTTACTGCATGCTCACCAAGGAGCTAGGAAGAAGCGCGTCTTCTTAGTGTTTTATTTCCTTCGTGGCCCAGATTTTCAGGAAGAGAGTGAGTTCTTGAGGTGGAGGAGGGGAGACAGGCGCTGTTCTTCCCAGGGAGAGGAAGGCACTGGGACCACTCTGTTCCAGGCGCAGGGGGGTAGCTAGCACCACGCAGCATCCTGGACCGTGTCCAGCTCTCTAGATTAATCACCGTCCTTCCCGAACCTCCTGCCTCCAGTCTATTTTTATCCACCTCCGAAATCCCTGTTACCTGCTCATGATTCCCCGTGTTAGGTGGATAATTCACTAAATTCCTTAGAGGGAGTGAATTTTGCATCCTAATGGTCCTGTTAGCTGCCCTGTTTCAGGGCTGATGAAAATGCAAAGAGAAATAATGCATTAATGTGCAGTTTCTCTCCCAGTGGGGGAGGCATCATGTATAATTTATTCTCTGCAAGTACTATAAATAGCTATGCAAAAATCTGTTGATTCCGGGGGGAGCCGTGCCTGAATTGGAAGAGTCCCACTGACATCATGAACTTAATCCAGTGTGAATGGAAGTGGCAGGCTTTTGCAGAGATCCCAATAATACTCAAACACTAGTAAATTGGTGTCATAGCAATGCGCACATTCTCCGAGAGCTTTCCACGTGGCTGTGCATTTGCCGCTTGTGAAAGATAAATTAAGGTGAGGATGGAAGACAATATTTAAATCTGAGTCCCCTCCCTCAATGCACACAAGCTCATATGTATCGATCATTTTATTCCACCTGTTTTTTTCTCTTTTTCTTCTCTCCCTCTTCCTTTATTATATATATATATTTTTTTATTGATTTCAAAAAGGAAAGGAGAGGGAGATAGAAACATCAATGATGAGAGAGAATCATTGATGGGTTGCCTACTGCATGCCTTACACTGGGGATCGAGCCCACAACCCAGACATGTGCCTGACTGGGAATGGAACGGTGACCTCCTGGTTCATAGGTTGGCACTCAACCACTGAGCCATGCCAGCTGGACTGTCTCCTCCTATTTTTATTTTTTAAATATACTTTTATTGATATCGGAGAGGAAGAGAGAAGGAGAGAGAGACAGAAATATCAATGATGAGAGAGAATCATTGATGGGCTGCCTCCTGCACGCCCCCTACTGGGAATCAAGCCCACAATCCAGGGATGTGCCCTTGACTGGAATCCAGGACCTTTTAGTCTGCAGGCCAATGATCTATCCACTGAGCCAAACCAGCTAGGGCTGTCTCCTCCTTTTTTATGAGGGGGGTTATAGAGGGAGAAAGAGGTTTCCTATTAGCAATTTGATTTATAATTCAAATGAGTTAACCGTCTGTGTTGTGCAAGACACTCAGTTTATACAAAATCTGATGAAACCGATGTTTTGGGAAAATAAACGACAATCAGACCATGGAAGGCCAGATTTGTAAAATGCTCTCCAGTCTGGCAGCTCTTTGCTCGTTCTGGGAATCGTTAATAAAACGCTGACTTTGGGGCCTGCACTTTAGATGACCTGTGCTTTTAAGCAGACGCTCATGTTTCTGGGAAGCCAGCGAGCAGTCGGGGGCCTGACTCGAACAAGCCGCTCGCTAGGGGCATCGCACGCATGTTTGGTCGCTTCTGCAGCCCTGGGTTAGGCGAATGCCCTGGTGGAGGAGTGGTGTATAGGCCTCCGGGTTGTAATGAAAAGAGTGCACCTGCGTCCGCAGAGTCCTTTGCTAACTCTGAAAGAAGAGGCAGTGGACAATGCCAGCTACCCTTTCCCATCTCTGGACCTGTGAACACAGAGCCTGGGAGCCAGCGCCTCCTGGCTCCTATGCTGGTCCTGTGCGTGCCAAGAGCCAAGGCTGATGCTTTTTGCTCCTCTTTGGCTGATCAGCACTGATATTTGGGGGTTAGGGCAGAGGGTTAGGGCTCTTCCCTGTCTTCATGCAGGCAGCAAAATGTTATCATTGGACCTACGACCGTCCACCTCCATGTAACTATATCGTTTCGTATGTATCTGACTCCGCTGAGGCATTTCCATAGACGGCTCTGTGCTGACACTACATGCACACTCTTACTTAGTGTCTACAACAACCTACAGAATGAACACCCCCCTCATTTTACTCCTGAGAAACCTCAGGCTCAAGTTTCTTGCCCAAGGTCACAGGCTAACGTGTAGGTGGAAGCCTGAGCCCCAGCTCTTCTGGATAAGTCCACTCCCTGGGGGGATGGTGGGGGAGGGTACCTCATCCATGATTGCCACCTGTCCCCACACCCCTTGGTCACTTCTTATTTTCGGGGTGCAGAGGCATCCTCCTCTTTGCATCTCCCTCTTCTCCCCACACCTGCAAACATCACGCATTCAGCCCCATCATTCTTCCCTCCCCGCCCCCCACCCCGGTCCTCAGAATGAGCCAGCACCCCCACACTCATTAAGCCAGCAGCCTTTATTAAGCACCTGCTGTACACAGGGAGGGCCACCTCTGCGTGTAGCATGCCTTGAGCACTCACTCTGTGCTACGTTCAGTTCTAAGTGAGTATGAATCATAATGCACAGGGAGGAAACTGAGGCAGAGAGAGGGTATGTTAGCAGGAAGGTGGGGTCACAGTTCTGGCATCTTATCTCAGATATCATTGAGATGGACACTCCCACAAGGGAGAGGCCAGGGGTGGTGGCGAGGACAGAGTAGGTGGACTGTCCTTTCTCGGACCCTAGTTCCATGTTTATTGAACAGCTGCTCTGTGCTAAGCCTTGAGGCAGGCATTTCTGGCAACGTTACCCAATGTGTCCCTCTGCCGTGAAGCTTGGGAGGTAAGTACCATTGCCCCCATCTTGTGGATAGGTAAGCTGAGGCCTTGTAAGGGGATGTGTGCACCCAGGGTCTCCAGGGCAGGCAGTGGTTTTAGCTGGCCTGACTCCAGGCACAGTGCTCCTCCTGATGCCTCACGTTGCCCTCACTCCCTCAGCCCTGCCCCTCTCTCCCTCCCCCTGCCTGTTGCCTGCTTCTGCTGTCACCACGCTTCCCACTCCAACACTTGGTCAGCTGCTCCACCTCCTTTCCTGTCCCGTTCCCTCAGCACAGTCCCTCTTGACTCCCTACGGAGTGGCTGGTCCTCTTATTGCCTTTCTGGTGTAACAGCTGTAGGAGGTTTCCCAGTCAGAGGCATTTCTCGAGTGGCTGCTGTGGGCTTGAGCAATGGGGATTGACCTTAGAAAGCCCTTTGTTCGGGAGGCACACCATGCTGTGTGCCCACGGCCAGATGTGCACCCACTCTGGGCTTCTGACTCTGTAAAATGACTCACGGCTCCAAGATCACTCCCATGTCCCCAGATCCGGCTCTGATGCTGCTATGTGGAAGAGTCAGTCAGTGTGGAAAGCAGGATGTAAACAACAGTGCCTGATTATGTGTCCAGTGAATGAGGAAGAGTCCCAGGGGTTAGAGCGGTCAGGGAAAGCTTTGCAGAGGAGGTGGGACTTGAGGGCCCCCTATAAGGACAGTGTGGGGAATTGAGGGGCAATGATTTTCTCACAGAGCGACTCTCCTTAGCCAGGTGTGCACCATCATTGTACCCTGAGCATTTAACCTGCCAGGAAGCAGTGCAAATGATGGCTCTCTGGCTAAAGAAAGAACTTAAACTTTATTAGTGTCCTTCCCCGCTTTCTTCATCGATTCTCCAGCTATCCTGCGCACTAAGTATCCTTGCATCCGGGGGCATCCTCACCCCATTTCTTGGTAAACTGTACCTTTCCTACTGAGACTTAATACAGTGAGTCTGCCGTAGCTCAGGGGAGCCATGTGGATGAGGAGTTTTAATTTACCACTAAACGTAAGAGTCAAGCATGTGCTCACATTGGGCAGGTTCTCTGTTGCTTGAAAATGCAACAGATCTCCTGTGAGTGCTAGCTGAGCAGTTCGGACCCCAGGCAGAGCCAACACTCATTGCACCAGGCCCAGGAGCCAGCGACTGTCTTTCCTTCCCCACGGAAGGCTTTATAAACCTCTGAGACCTCATGGGAGGGGGTGGCTTGGTTTCTAAACATGCAGGAAGCCATTGGGGGGTTGACTTCTCCTGGTGAACCTGCAGAGGCAGCCTCCCCACCAGGGCGATGCAGAGCTGGGAGTGTGCTAACAGGTGATAAAGGATCCCATGGCCGGGTCCGCTTGAGAACCAGCCCAGCCACATGCTTCTTTACTACCCGGCTCTTCCGAGAGCTTTAGACACAGCTTTCCCCAAACGAGGCCACCCCCTGCTGCCCTGGTTCCCCGAGGAATTTTCAGGGCAGAGTCCGGAGTGCAGCTCTGTGGCTTCCTTTTGGTCCAGCCTTTTTGAAAGCCAGGTCTCACCAGGTGTGTTTAAGCGATCGAGATCCTTCAGCCACGCCTGTGAGCTGTTTATCTTAAAGAAGCTGTATCAGAAGCGGTGCATTCAGTCTGAGAGTCCTGTGCACCCTGGAACCTTCTGGAATCTCCCAGAGTCAAACAGGCTGGGATGTTAGCGTTGTTTTTTCCTGTTGAAACTGATGAGAGAAAGGAAAGAAGGGGTGGTCGATGACTCCTACAAGGCATCTCGTGGAGCTTTTCTCTTTAAACCCCTATTCCCAGATTTTGTGGTTCATCAAACATTGCCCTACCAGTCGGTCTCGGTGGATACTTTCAACTCCAAGAATGACGTGTACGTGGCCATTGCCCAGCCCAGCATGGAGAACTGTATGGTGCTAGAGTGGGACCACATCGAGATGAACTTCCGGAGCTATGACAATATCACAGGTGGGTGTGGCTTTGAGGTATCGGCTCAGTTTCGCGAGAGAAGAAACATTCTCCGCGGTACCGAGGGACTGCTGGGCTCTCTTCCTGGCTTAGAGTTTAGGGACACGTGCCAGCCCATCCTCATCTCTGACTGCTTCATGACATGGTCCATTATTGGTGGGACCGGAAGCCTCAGGTGGCGATCCTGTTTGTGTGGGGGATCCTTTTGAAAAGGAAGAGAGTGATGGGGTATATGTGGTGGGAGGCATTTCCCTGGAGAGGTGAGAGGTCACCCCGAGAACCCCTTGATCTTGAGCAGTTATGGCACCTTCGATTGCACCCACTTTGTAGCAGCTAAACAAGTCCTCGCCTTTTGTTAAGCTGATTATTAACAATATGGTAATGAACACGTGCACACAAGCATAGTGCATACAAGCATACGTGCTCATGCACACGCACACACATGTACATATGCATGTGCGTACACATGTGCACAAATACAAGCCGGTACATATGCACACACGTGTGTGATCATGCACACATGCATGTAAACACACCTCCACTATCTAGCTGTTCTTCCTGCCCTCTTGCCAGGTCCTGGTGATCACTGCCTCCTTGCAATAAATGCAAGCAATTAAGAATGCATGGCTCTCTAAATCCAGGCTTTTGGGAAAAGACTTGGTTAAAGATTCTTTTAGTGCTGGCAGAGGCCCCCAGTGTCTTACTGCTATTAAAAACGAAGGGCCTGCTTGCTTTTTATTTTTATCTATTTATTTTTTAAATATATATTTGTTATTGATTTTTTTACAGAGAGAAAGGGAGAGGGATAGAGTTAGAAACATCAATGAGAGAGAAACATCAATGAGAGAGAAACATCGATCAGCTGCCTCCTGCATACCCCCTACCAGGACCCTTGAGTCCACAGGCTGATGCTCTATCCACTAAGCCAAACCGATTAGGGCTTGCTTTTTAAATATAATAAGTGGGTAAAGTTAAAACAATCTTGCAAACACTTCTCATTTATCAAGTGCATCCTGATAATGATACTAACTTTATGAGCAGCATCACAATGGCCCCACAGTCAGACTATGAGACAATTTCCTTTCGGGTCCTGGTTTGGGGATGGGGCAGTGTTTTGCTGTTCCAGAGAGAAGCGGGCAGAAGTGGAGTGTCTAGAGGGGGCGGCTCCTCAGAATCTCTCCGGCACCGAGTGGCTTGGCAGCAGGTGCGGGGATGTGAGAGGCAGGGAAAGTGTCATAATGAGCCTCATCTCGCAGCCCTGAGAGGTTTGTGAGACACACGCACAGATGCCACTGAGAGGCCATTCAGAGGAGCACGTTGCTGTCGGCCATCTGGCCGCCTGGTGCTGAGCTCACATTCCTGAGTCTAAGTGCAGAGTCAGCACCGAGCCGCTCAGGTGAACCTGCCGAGGGAAGCCGAGGCTTCGCACCCTACACCCAGCCCCAATGCAAGGAAAAAGGGGGGCCAGACAGGGACTCCTGGTCCATGTGCTTCTGCCTCTCTCCTGACTTGGAAGGTGGTGAGGGGTGAATGAGCTGGTCCCTCTGCCTTCTCCCCGGGAGGTGGGAGCAGAGTGATGCTTTGCTCTTGTGCGGGGAGAGCCAATGTCAGTGCTTGGGGGCAATGCTGGTTGTGCCTGTAAGGTGCCAGGTGCTTGTTTGTGTTATTGGAAACACACACACACACACACACACACACACACACACACACACACACACACGATCTTGGCTGCTACTGGCAACTCTATGAGCTACAAGTGTTCACCAGGGCAGAGGCATTAGAGAGCATCTCTGAAGTCAGTTCTTTCTGTCTCTCACGCCCCTCAGCTGAGGCTAGCAGGCTGGTGGGTGCTTCGGCAGCAGGCACCTCCGGGGCTGGGCGGTGCAGGAGGAAGAGCAGGAGCAGGCACTCTTAGTCAGTGCTGGCAGGCGGCAGCCTGGGCAGCTTTCGAAGAGCGGTGTGGTAGTTTACACCCAGAAGCCTTAAAAATGTGCACAATGTTTGACTCAGCAAACACATAAGAACACTGCCAGATGGTTTTCCAAAAACGATTTCTCTACGAGGAAGCATGTTATTTACAATCACAGAGAGCTAGAAATAACTGCCATGTCCAATAGTGGAGGATTAGTTAAACAAAGGACGGTGCATTCATACAGTGGAATGCGGTGTAGTATTTGAAATTCTAGTTATAGAAGAGGAAATAACATGGGAGAATATTCACAAGTGAACATGGTCAAGTGAAAACACAGGTTAATAAGAAGCCTATGTAGTTGTATGATAAGCTCACATTTATTTTTAAAAAGTGCATTTGAATATGAACATAGATTGATTACTAATAAATATATCAAAACATAAGTATCATTTCAGCATTTGCAAGACCATGATTTTGATTCTCTTCTTTGTGCTTTTTGGTACCTTGTTGGTGGAGTGTAGGCAGCAGTCAGACTATCTAGGTTTCCTTTGGCTCCGGCCATCGGAAGGGGCCAATGTCTTCAAGAGCCCTTATTACAATTGTTTCCTTCTGCCCATGAGCCTTCACTCCCACTATCTGACAGTCATTTAATGGCCTCCTTCTGCCCTAGGGAGTTGGGACATACTTTTTTGAACATCATGAGGCCAGTGCATTTGGTGTGTCAGTGAATTTCCTGGCTTGTACACCTGCCTCTAAAGACACAGAGACTCAGGTGACCAGCATTTACATATTTCTATGGAGCCACCATTTATAAAAAGTGTTTAATTTTTTTTTTAATTATGGGAAACTAGACATAGCATAAAATGTACCACCTTAACCACTTTGAAGTGTTCTGTTCAGTTGTGTTAAGTACATTCACATTATTGTGCAGCAAAAAGAACCCTTTTCGCCTTGGAAGACTGAAAATCTCCACCCATGAAACAACTCCCCATTTTTTCCTCTTTCCAGACCCAGCAACCACCTGCCCCTCCCCTTTCTGTTTCTATGAATCTGACTAGGTACCACATAAAAGTGGAGTCAGAATTTCCTTCCTTTTAAAAAAGATTTTTATTGATTTCTCAGAGGAAGGTAGAGAGAGAGAGAGAGAGAGAGAGAGAGAGAGAGAGAGAGAGATCAATGATGAGAGAAAATCATTGATTGGCTGGCTCCTGCACACTCCACACTAAACCCACAACCCAGGCATATGCCCTGACCGAGAATTGAACAATGACCTCCTTATTCATAGGTCAATGCTCAATCACTGAGCCATGCTGGCTGGGTAGAATTTCCTTCCTTTTTAAGGCTGAATAAAAGCCCATTGGATGCGTAGACCACATGTGTTTATCCACTTACCCATCAGTGGACACTTGGCTTGCTTCCACCTCTTAGCTATTGTGAATAATGCTGCTAAGGACATGGCTGGACACATATCTCTCTAAGACCCTGCTTTGAATTTTTCTGGCTTAGGATCCAGAGGTGGAATTCTATATTATATGGTAATTCTATATTTAATTTTTCAATAGTTTAACTTTTCTGTGATTTCCAACGGGGCTGCCCCATCATACATTCCCCACCAGCAGTTCCCTAGGGTCTCTGTGTCACTGAGGAGGAGCATCTCAACCACGGCCGCCCTAACCCCCTCTCCTCTCTCTTGGGGCTCAGGTCAGTCCATTGTGGGCTGCAAGGCCATCCTCATCGACGACCAGGTGTTTGTGGTGGTGGCCCAGCTCTTCGGCGGCTCTCACATCTACAGGTACGATGAGAGCTGGACCAAGTTTGTCAAATTCCAAGACATCGAAGTCTCTCGCATCTCCAAGCCCAATGACATTGAGCTGTTCCAGATCGAGGACGAGACATTCTTCGTCATCGCCGACAGCTCGAAAGCCGGCCTGTCAACGGTTTACAAGTGGAACAGCAAAGGATTCTACTCCTACCAGTCCCTGCATGAGTGGTTCAGGGACACGGACGCCGAGTTCGTGGACATAGATGGGAAGTCGCACCTGATCCTGTCCAGCCGCTCCCAGGTCCCCATCATCCTGCAGTGGAATAAGAGCTCCAAGAAGTTCGTTCCCCACAGTGACATCCCCAACATGGAAGACGTGCTGGCCGTGAAGAGCTTCCGCATGCAGAACTCTCTCTACCTGTCCCTCACCCGGTTCATTGGGGACTCCAGGGTCATGAGGTGGAACAACAAGCAGTTTGTGGAGATCCAGGCTCTCCCGTCCCGGGGGGCCATGACCCTGCAGCCCTTCTCTTTCAAAGAGAATCATTACCTGGCCCTGGGGAGCGACTACACGTTCTCCCAGATCTACCAGTGGGACAAGGAGAAGCAACTGTTCAAGAAGTTCAAGGAGATCTATGTGCAGGCACCCCGCTCCTTCACGGCCGTCTCCACTGACAGGAGGGATTTCTTCTTTGCGTCCAGTTTCAAAGGGAAAACAAAGATTTTTGAACACATAGTTGTTGACTTAAGTTTGTGATCGATGACTTTAAAGGACACACAGCACGAGCTCTCGGGAGAGAACCGAGAAAACATATGTAAAGGGAAGCCAGGTTCAGAGGTCTGACATGAACACTGCATTGGGGAAATAATTAGACGTGTTCCAACATTTAGAACTCACATTTTAATCAGGGATTACATTTATTGGCTAACTGCATGCCACGTCCATCCTCCCATTTAAAAAGACATAGAGAAGCCTCTAATTCCTGAGAAACGAGTACAGTAGTAACTCACACCATCTAGGAAAGTAATGTGATATTTTTTTTTAATGAGGAAAGAGAAAATCAGATAAGATAGGACAGCTCTTAACAATGAAATTTTTAAAAAGACCAAACAAACTATGGGCCCTTCTCATCCCATTTTAGCTATCTTTCTGGTAAGGACTCTTAAAGCCAAAGTCAGCTGAAAAGATTTGCTGATGGTAAGTTTAAAAATCGGGTAACACTCAGCATTGCTATTTTGAGCCATCCCAATTTCCAAACACCCCCCCCCAACTCCCCTTCCCAGCAGAACCTTGGCGATTGCATTGGCTCATATGGATGCTTGTCATGGGCGTGTCAACAAGATAATGTTTGACGAATTGCTTCCTCTGCTACAAAAAAAAATATTCTGCTGACACCTGTCTAGGCCCAGCATGGGCTGTGGGCCCAGGAGGGGGACAAAGGAGGTCTCCTCTTCCTGTGGTTCAGCGCTGACCTTCGTGGTGACTGGAGCAGCAATGCCTGTTCGATGCTCTCCATGATGCGTTGTTTCTCAGAACCCACTCTCTGAGTGTGCGGGTCACCAGCAGACAGCCCAAAGACCGAATGGTGCTTTCTATTCTGTCCTTTAGAGCAATAGAAGAGGGATTGCCATCTGACGAGCATTTCTGAACCAAGAGTTTGTAGAGTCTAGGAGGATCTCACACACATCTCCATGTACTTTGAAACCTAGAGATGGCCCTTGGATTGATGCATGCCTTTGCCCCCATAATGGGCAACTTAATATTTCAAGTAATTGAATAGCAACCTACCTACATGTCCACCTGCCTACCTCCCTGCTCACGTAGCCATCTGCTTTGTTGATTTGCTAATATTGCTGCTGCCAGCTCAGTCCTTCCGAAGGTGCTATAGCACCAAATTGTAGAAGCCAGGGTACTCAGGACAGCACACTCCTCCCTGTTCCTGTCCTTTGCTCCCTTGGGGACACGTGCTGATAGGGGGCTTTACACAGAAAGGGGGGGGAGGGGCGCAGGGGACTGAACAATAGGGACCAGCTTAGGAGTCTGCACTCAGAGGCCCAGGTGGCCTGTTTCCAAATGGGTCTCTCTGGTGTGGACCATCAGGAAGCGCATGGGGACAGGGATCTGGTTTTGTGGAGGGTCCAGGGATGTTCTGCCTGGTTAGCTGGTTCTCTTCAGAGAATAGGAAGGGGATGGTTTCAGGAGTGGCTCTCAAAGAGTAACCCCACCACTCGTAGCCATGAGCATAGCATCATCGCTGTACTGCATTACTTTTTTAATGATTTGTGTTTGCCAAGTCATGAGTAGGTAGATGTTTTGACACAAATATGAATGTGTGTGTTGTTTCCAGACTGTAAGCAATGCAGACCGAGGCAATAAATAGCACTTAGAGAACAATGTGCTGATGTCACAGCAGCTCTCTTGGGCACATTCTGGGACTGAAGGCTGAGGGCTCCCAGCCTTGGACACCAGGGACCTTCATGAACTAGCTCATTCACACATGGTGGCCTTGTTGCTTGGGATGTTCCCATGAGGCACCGAGGGAACCAGAGAAAAGTGGCGTGTTGTCTGTCATTTTTAAAGCACCAATGACTTTCTCCTGTGTTCTTTCCTCTTCCTGGTTGTTTGCATTGACTGCAAATGCCCCGATCCCTGCATTGGCGGCTGGATGTGGGAGAGCTCAGCTACTCCTTGGGTTGTCACGATGGTCAGACTATTCTTTCTGGCACATAGAACCCTTCTGACAAGGCTGGGTGGGAAAACAGGCTCTTGGCAAATAGTCAAGTAGGAGACGTTTAGACAGCCCAGCCCTGTGCCAGATCAAAATGATGTTCCCAATTCAGACATTTATAGACAAGGCAACTGCTCCAACATCACGGTGTCACTACAGAGCTGTGTGCTAGTCTCCCAGCTTCACCGCTGGGGATGGAATTAGAGGCTAACCACGTGCAGTCACCACCCTGGTCACCATTGTCCAGAATCTGGAAAACCAGGGAGCACAGGGTGCCGGGTTGGGTGTGGGGGTACTGGTGAGATAGGATGTCCAGGTGAGATAGGATGAAAGAAAAACCCCAAGCTTATGATGGAGGCGGGGATCGGAGGGAGCAGGGGTGGGGAAGCCACTCAGTTGCAATCAGGATTTCTTTCTGTTGCTTTTAAAAAAAACTTTCAGACAAGATCTTCGCTTGCAGTCCCTAGAGCTCCTGCCCTGAGGGAGGAGATATTGGTTCTGGCCGACTTAAGGAGTGGAGATGTTCTTGGCGCCAGGCGATGGAAGCTTTGCTTCATTAATCTTACTGCTCCATCCCAAGAGTCCCTCAAGTTTTAAACAATTTCTGCAAGAAGATTTCTTCCCGTAATAAATGTAAGAGAAAAAAACACCAAGCAACAACAAGAATCCAAAGCAGAGTGTCTTGGGGGACCATCCCTGTGGAGATAGCATCAGGAGGGGCTGTGCTTTTTGCTCCGTTCCTTCCCATCACCCACTGCTTGATCATCTCCGCTGGTTTTGTCTTTACAATCTTGGTGGTGTGACTCCCAGACTGAGTACCTGCACCTAGCCATGTGGCCAAGACACATAGCTTTAAAGTGAGGGCCTGAACCCAAACTCTACAGAGCCAGGAACAGATCCCTTATGAAGACTAAAAATAAGTCTTCAGATTGAATGGCGCTGTGTCCTTAGACAGTTGCTGGTAAGACCACCTTTATATTTTTCCATGTACTTTGTATTCATCTTCTTTGTTCATAAATAGTTCTCCAGTTTTCTTTGGAGGGCAGATATTTTTCCATTTACAGTGAGAAGGAAATAGACACAAAAGTTCTAAGTCAGTTGCCTGTTCAAGATTCTTTCATAGTGAGTGGCAAAACTGGAACATGCCCAGAAATTCTGGAAAACCAGGGACTTGCCCTCTGCCCAATAGGCTTTGTACTTTTTTCCTGTGAGCACTGCCAGGCCCTCCAAATGAACACGTTTTAATCAGGATTTTGAAGAAAGCAGCACCTTGAGAGAAAATTTTAAAAATGCAACCAAATGTGAATAGCCAGAGGAAAAGAGTGCTGACTAGACACCATCCAATCAATTGGTCCATTTCACAATTAAACACCGCGGAACTGCTGTTACAATGAAAGACCCCACTCTTGAAAGTCTTCCAGAAGTTGCAAGTAATCTTCTGTTCTAACGGGCCCGGTTGCCTCTCCCCTCTCATAGCTATGGGAAAGATGCTGAGGTTAAGACGAGTCTGGTTCTTGTCACAATGTCCACAAGATAAACAAGAACAGCTCCGCGAGGGGGGAAACTAAAACCGTGATGCACGAGTGATGATGAATTGCTCCGGGCTACAGTCAGCCTTCAGGGAGCACGCTGGGAATGGCAGGGCTGCATTTCTCTTCCCCGTGGAGTGAGAGGCTGTGTATTTTTAGGGAAGAAATCAGCGTAGGATGCTGGAACACTCACGATGGAAATCTGGCTGCCAGGAACACTCAGGATGGAAATTTCTCCACCGGGGTGTAATGGAAGAGAGATGAAGGTCTGCGGGAGGGGAGTCTATTTGCATGCCTCCTAAAGAAAATCTCTTGAGCCAGCTTCCCGATTCTTCTGCAGAAGTATCAGCCCCTCGCTCAAAGTGGTAGAGTTAATTAGGCAGTGACCAGAGCTTCTGTTAAATGGCACCCTGGAATAGAATGCAATAACCCAGCTGTCGACACAGTGAGTAAGATGGTCCAGACTTGGGGGAGAGGGAAAGGAAATGGATAGAAAAGCAGGGCAGATGGCTGTGGAGGAGACTCTTTGGGGAACATGGAAGTGAACCGGAGGAAAAGAACAAGTCATAATGATTTCCTTCACTTCAGCCAGGCAAGTAGATGGTGGAACAACCAGGCAAATGAACAGCATCCTAATTATTAACGGAGAGAGCCAGTTATAGCGCTAATGAGAATAAGAATTATCTGGAAAGCTACTGAAATCTAAACCGAGGCACTCTGATCCCTACATGATTTCATTGCTTGTCTCAGAATCCACCTTTTTTTTTTTTCTAGTAGGAAACTATGCATTCCCCATCACTCCTTTTGACTATCAGGAATGTATAAGACCTGTGAGAAAATAGGCCAATATGCCATTTGGTACCATTTTTAAGTATTTTAAATGCATAACTTAGGCAACGTAAGAATAGTTTATCTGTCTATGAAAGCAAATTTTGTGGTATGCAAGCTACAAAGAATGCGTTGTTAATGCCGAACGTATATTTAGCTCCTTTTGGTAAATAGAGTTAACAAATGATATGCCTCTTAATTCGCTATGTCCTGTAAACCTATGAATAAAAAATAGCTCCTGCCTACTATGGCTTTGATCTCTGGTCTGTTTGTATATTAATACTTCTATCTGAGTCCTAGAGTTGAAAGGATGCCTACCCAGGGCAGCTGAGTGTGCCTAGGTTTCTTTGTGGCTTAGTCCCTGTTTAAATGGAAGATGGGCACCACAGGGCAGAGTTACAGTATGCAGAGCAGAGGACACCCTCGCTCTCTGCATGCAGACTGGGAGGGGAAGGGGGAGGCTGGCTTGGCATGTCCAGGTTCTCTGTGCTAACTCACCAGTCACAATAGGACACCCCCACTGGCTCAGATAGAGAGTGGAACATGCAGGTTGGCTCTGGGAGTATTGTGCTCTAGGGGTCTCATCCATGTGGAAGAAAATATCCGGAGTAGGAAGGAAGCCTCATGCCACCCTCCACCCAAACATCAACAACTCAGGGACAAGACAGTGT